GCGCGAGAAACGAGAAAAAAATAGAAAAATAACATTTATAAGGACCGTTAACAGGATGGGTGACCAAAACATTATTATATTGAGCACTGTGCACAACACTGGCATAATGCACGTTAAGCCGTTAGTCCTGGCTGCATCAGCAACGTTAACACCCACCGATCCGCATTAAGCCCGCGTAGTGGGATATGGCCCATTGATCTTATTCGATTCGTCTGCATTCATAGGAAAAAAGAATTCTACCAAAATACTTCCCACGCAGACGAAGTCGCGGGCACAGCTAGTACATTATAAACAGAGAGAAAAAAACTATGGTCTTATAATGATAACATAATCATTTAATAATAATGGAAATAAGATAATGAGTTTAGAAGTAATCACCTATCCAGTTGCTGGAACATCTCAAGTCCAAGCGTTTCTTATCTTTTATATAATCGGATACCTTATAATAAGCTTTTTTAATAAGTATTTTTTAATAGTAGATTTAAACTGTATGATATCTTATTGTTGTATTTTGCTTGGGACCTTATTGTAGAAGCGCACACAAAGACCCTTGAATGAGTTATTAACTTTTTGCAGCCTAGTGACAGGCACCGTTAATTTATTTTTATTTCTTGTATTAAAATTGTGTACATCATTTTTTATAGAAAACAAACTAATATTTTTACGAACGTACATTAAGTTCTCGTATATGTATTGAGAAGCAACAGTCATAATGTTTATTTCCTTAAATTTCTCCCTTAAAGAATCCCTAATCCTAAAATTATAAACTGATCGAATTGCTCTTTTCTGAAGCACAAAAATTGTTTGTATGTTGGCAGCATTTCCGCACAATAGGATTCCGTACGACATTACACTATGAAAGTAACTGAAGTATACGAATCTGGCAGTATCTATATCCGTTAACCTACGTATTTTCATTACGGCATATGCTGCAGAGCTAAGTCTACTCGACAATTACCGATATGTGGGCCCCACTGTAGTTTAGAATCTAATGTTATTCCTAAAAATACTGTGGTATCCACATGGCCCGTGTTCTTATCTTTTATATTAACATTTTTATATACTTTTTTAACATTAGGTAGTACAAATTTTAAGCATTTTGTTTTTCCTTCATCAAGGAGAAGATTATTTACATTAAACTAATGTACTACTTTAGCAATAGAATTGTTCACATCGTCATTTAGAAGTAACCCTCTTTTAAATTTTTACAAAAGTGAAGTATCATCCGCAAACAAAACTATCGTATTTCGTGATCATCCCTTACGAAATAAGGCAAGTAATTTATGTAAATCAAAAACAAGAAAGGACCAAGTATTGAGCCCTGCGGAACACCCATCTTAATTTTCGATCCAGGGGATCTTTTGCCATTGATATCAACCCTCTGTACTCTGTCAGTCAAGTATGAGAGAATATAATCCAACGAGTTATCTCTTAATCCACAAAAATCCAGTTTCTTAATCAATGTTTCGTGAAAAACACAATTAAATGCTTTAGATAAGTCACAGAAAACACCATAAGCATCATGTGAATCCTCCCAGGCATTAAAAATTTCTTGTATTAACTCGACACCAGCTTCGGTTTGTTGAGCGGCCCCTTGTAAAACCAAATTGTTGTCGATTCATAAGCTTATTCTTGTAGAAGTACGTTTGTATTTGATCCAGCATGTTTTTTCAAAAATCTTACTAAACGTAGGTAGCACGGATATAGGTCTAAAGTTAGTAAGGGTCAGATGTGCTACCAGATTTATGTAAAGGAATAATTTTACTATATTTCATGAGCTCAAGAAAAATACCACAATCAGTACATTTACTATGATTGGAGCTATTGTCTCAATTACCGATTTAGAAACTTCAATGAAATTACCTCATAAATCAGCGGTTCTCTTTCTCTTTAGCTGATTAAAAGATTTCATTATATCTTTAAAATCAATGTGTTGAAACTTAAATTGGCTATTAGAATTATTTAAACTTGCCTTTAAAATAGACTCAGCAACAGTGGAAGAGGAATTCAAAGATTGTGTAATTAAGACTGGAATTTCAGTAAATAAATTTTCAAATACTGTAGCAACTTCAAGATCTGATGTTACTTTTTTATTATCAATGTTTAAATTAAAATTTATATTCCGGGATTTTTCTCTTCTAGTTTCACTATTTATGATATTCCACGTCATTTTGACTTTATCTTTACTATTTTTAATTTTTGCATTTAAATAATAACATTTTGCTAAACGACACACTTTTTTTAAATAATTTAGAGTAATTTCGTACATATTCTTTGAAGTCCTCACTTGTGTTATAATTACGTTCATCATATAGTTCATAGAGCCTTTTTCTGCTTTTGTAGATTCCTGGTGTAGCCCACAAACTAAAAGTTATAGGATTACTAATACTTATTTTTTTTTGGGACAAAAACCTTATTGAATTCTGTACAATAAACATCAAAGAAATCTTTGTACAAATCATTGGGATTACTATTATGTTTCAAATGATATAATTTTCTAATTGATTTTTAAAACGTTCATGCGACTCATACTTTTTGACACAACTGTAATGTCTCTCCTATCCACAAACGTACATTTATGCGAAAAGGTAACTATTTGTCCAAAATGATCTGACGGTAGTTGTTTAATTATCTGTTTTGAAAGTGGTACCATATCTGTACAAAATGTTGTCAATACATACGGACGAAGTAGCAGTTACTCGAGTAGGCTCCTTAAACATGTGAGCAAGATTATAGGACATAAAAAGATTTACAAGTCTTGTACATGAATTGGAGTTTCCTAATAAATCAACGTTAAAATCACCCCCAATCACTAATTGTTTGCCTTTGCTACATACCTTTTTTAAAGCTTCATCGATAACTGTTTCAAAAAGATCATAATGAGAAACTAAACTTGAAGGAGGTCTATATACGCTTAGTACAATCAGCTGGTCCAGCTCTATGCAGGCAATCTCTATTATTTCCTCAACCGATAGGCTCAATATATCTCTACGTTCTTTAAATTTAAACTTTTTATTTAATAAAATTAGTGCGCCACCACGCATTGCGTTGATGAGCTACCAACCAGGTGATTATTGAAGTTAAAAATGCAATTATAATATAATTAAAAATTTCAAACTTCAAACGGAGTTGTGAATAGCTAGTTAGTCTCAAGTGGATTTTATAAGTAAAATCCTATCCAAAAAAGGGTGGTATGTAACCGTTTACTTAATTCTTTATTTACAACAGTTACAATTTTAAAATTACTAAAGTCATTTATTTAGGTATTCCTAATCTAACAACAAAGAAAAATAATAATGAACAAAAATATAAACTTAACTATCTTATAATGAAATAATAACAAGTTGAAAACTGAATCTAAAAAAAAAAATTTAAATAAAAATTAATAATAAATAAATTCGAAGGCAAAGTCAGGACAAAGCGCTTGTATGTTAAACCTATTGTTCGTGTGCTCGCGCATCGTCGATCGAACCTGCAAGCCGGTTTCTTAACGGCGGGAGACAATTTTTATACTACCGTAGAGTTAAGACGGATTCTCGTCAGTTGAACTATTTTCTAAGCTGTTTTGCTTGCTACTGAAATTCAAATTTATAATTTAAATATTAACTTGAAATTCAATTCAGTTATTGTGCTAATTATTCCTCATATTAAGGAACCCCTACGGCAAGGCCGATTGGATATAACGAGGTTTTGAATCAGAAGGTCATCCCCTAGCACACCGCGCCGTGGATGGATTTCTCCTTTGCCAGGGCAGTGGTATTCTCAATTTTTTATTGCGCATCCGATCGACGAATAACGAGTCCACCCCCATGTTAATTATACTATAATCTGTCTCATTTACCATTTCGAGTTCACAGGCACAACGCTGGTTATCTTAGTCTATTCTTGGATACTTCGCAACCATGACTTTTTTCTTCTACCAACGCATTGTTTCCCCATTACTTTTCTCATCATTAAAATCTGAAGAAGATGATGTCTCTAATGCCAATATGGTCAAGGTAACCCATATTTCTTTCGGCTGATTGGGTGAATCGTCGGGACATTTATGAAAATACGCTCTGCGTAGAGAAAAAGTAACAAGTACTTGAAAAATTCGTTACTCCTGTTAGGTCCTTGGTAGCTCAGTGGTTAGAGCAGTCGCCCGGATTGCGAAAGGTCATGGGTTCGAGTCCCATCTCAGAATATTAAAGCATTTTTCATTAAGAATATTTTTCTGTATAGCATTGTGAATGCAAAATCGATCAAATATAAAAAATAAATAATAAAGTGGCGATAGAGTTTTTTCCGCTGAATTCAACACGTCTCCTATCAAGTGAAAGGATAGATAATGAGCTCCTAATTTATCTTAGAACATTTTTCGAAAAAGTCAACAATTACAGGTACCAGACTTAATTAGAACTAAACGGTAATGATATAATGGATACTTTCCTCTTGAAGCACGTGAATTCGATTCATCATTATCATCATCAGCACTACGTCCCCTCTGCAGGGGCTCAGGCCTTCCTTATGGATGGTTAAGAAGGATGGGTCATGACCCTCCACGCTGGCCCAATGCGGATTGAAGGGTATTAACGACTGCAAATGCAAACCGGGACCAACGGCTTAATGTGCCTTCCGAAGCACGGAGTAGCTCGAGATAATAATCTTTCGGTCACCCATCCCGTGACCGACCCTTGCGAAAGTTGCTTAACGACAACGACAGCGGGCCGCGGCGCTTGTCCACTACGCCACCAAGCACTGTTATTTAGTGCCTTGCCCGAGGTTGTACTGCAAAATTATATAAACGAGAATTCGATTATCACGTTCATATAATTTTGCAGTACAACCTCGGGCAAGGCAATTAATAACCAAAATAACGAATTTCGGTCAATTTTAAAATTAGGGGGCTATCCATAAATTTCGTCACAGCTGGTCACATTTGACTAGCTGTGACAAAGACGGGGACGTCACGTATTTTATAAATTTACATTTAGAAATCATTGAATTAAAACAGACGGTTCGAAATCAGTTTTATTTCCATTTATATTATTTTTTAATAATTTTAACATCAAATCAAACGAATAACAAAACAAAAAACAATTGTCAGAAATTAACAAAACAAGAAATACTAATAGAATTATATATAACGGAGGGCGATTACCAATCTCGTTATCAAAACGGTCAGACATCTTTGGAAATACTAAATAATAGTCTTTCGAACAATCACACACGTGTATTTCTTCAATAAACAAACAATCGTAGCTAAGTATTTAAGGAGCACATCGATAGAAATGGATTTATTCGGTAACGCGGTAAGTTCAATACAGCGCTTCAAAATTATACTCGTCTATAATTCTCACGACCGTACAATAATCCGACGTCCATTTCCCTTTCCGTTTCTGCCAAAACGTCAAAAAAAACACAGAGCAACCAACGGCGCTGTATCGACCTTACCCAAGTATTCACTTGACGTTTCCGATCATAAGTTACGAGTGAACTCGATAGATGGCTTTAGTAATGACAATCAATTCAGGTTATGACAAGGACAGATTTATGCATTCGATAGGGCCACACTGTGCTTATGCTGCGACATATATAAATTAAAGATAGTAACTAGTCTCGAGTGCATGGGTTTTGAACACAAAATTCTTTAAATTATTTATAACTAGCATAGCAGCCACTATGCTATGCACTAGAAAATGTTTCAACATCTTTTTCATCCAACCATATACGTACTACATTCTCGTCATCATCCGCATTAAGAAGTTTTCTAGCAGCAATTCTTTGAGCACGAAACTTCGCGATATAAAAATTTCTCGTTGCCTCTTATGTAATTGCTTGTGTTGATTAGTGGCTTTGTATGATAAAGAATATAGACTGCAGATGTTTCAAGTTCGTGTTTTACACTTAGATTTTAATAGATTTTGAAATGTGACGTCACGAAATTTAGGAGACGGGAGGTCTCCTAAATTTCACACAATGTAATACTTCGTCGATCCCCTCCCTCCCCCTTAACGTGTGGCGTAATTTATGGATGGCCTCTAGTTTGTATTTTTAGTGAATTTAACTAGATTAATGTTTCATGTATAGAAAATAAAAAATCATAAACCAAAATATTGCTTGATTGTAAGTCTTTAATTATTCAATAACCATGGATAAAACGAATATGATAAAAAAAAGTATTTCTCAATAAATATTCCAAGTAACTGTGGGCAACCAAATTTTTATTTTTGTTAATAAGCTTAATCATTTTAAAATTATGAGTGAATACTGCATACTTATTTAACGAATCCTTTTAAATGCTAGACGTGCTGGAAAGTGCTTGTTAAATGAACTGTAGACTGGTACCGCTCCGCAAACAACACAATGAGACCAATCGCATTTGCCGCTATATGGGTTAAATAGAAGAGAAGTTGGACAATCCATTGTAACTGGTTTGTTATGATCACAAATATAAAATTGTCCGCAGTTTTCATGGGCAATTAAGAAACCGTCTGAATTTTCAGAAGCACATATTGCAGATGCTTGGCTAGGGTCGTCATTGCTGACTTCTCCAGTTGGTGCGGCACATTTTTTGTCTTTTTCATCGTCATCGTCTTCGCATGAAGAGTCATCGCCGTTATCATCTTTTACTTCGTTTTCGCTGCTACTGTTCTCATTTTCGTTACATCCATCATCAGGGGTCACACGATCTCCACAATCTACACATTTGCGCCACTCGCAACGATCTGTATTTGGATTGAAGAGTAAGTTGGCAGGGCAAGACTTGGCCACGGGTTTACCATTGGCACAGATGTAGAACTGGTTGCAGTTCTCGTGAGCTACAAGTACATCATTGGAACCTTCAGCGGAACAGATTTCAGGTGCTAAATTGGGGTTGCCATTGCCTCCTCCTACGACTTCTTCGCCAGCACAGGACTCGTTATCTTCGCCGTTATCATCATTATCGTCACTGTCATTGCTGTCAATGCTTTCGTCACTTTCACCGCCGCTGCTGTTGTTATCATTTTCACTACAATCATCATCAGGAACTACGCGATTCCCACAATCTACACATTTGCGCCACTCGTAACGATCTGTATTCGGATTGAAGAGTAAGTTGGCAGGGCAAGACTTGGCCACGGGTTTACCATTGGCGCAGATGTAGAACTGGTTGCAGTTCTCGTGAGCTACAAGTACGTCATTGGAACCTTCAGCGGAACAGATTTCAGGTGCTAAATTGGGGTTGCCATTGCCTCCTCCTACGACTTCTTCGCCAGCACAGGACTCGTTATCTTCGCCGTTATCATCATTATCGTCACTGTCATTGCTGTCAATGCTTTCGTCACTTTCACCGCCGCTGCTGTTGTTATCATTTTCACTACAATCATCATCAGGAACTACGCGATTCCCACAATCTACACATTTGCGCCACTCGCAACGATCTGTATTTGGATTGAAGAGTAAGTTGGCAGGACAAGACTTGGCCACGGGTTTACCATTGGCACAGATGTAGAACTGGTTGCAGTTCTCGTGAGCTACAAGTACGTCATTGGAACCTTCAGCGGAACAGATTTCAGGTGCTAAATTGGGGTTGCCATTGCCTCCTCCTACGACTTCTTCGCCAGCACAGGACTCGTTATCTTCGCCGTTATCATCATTATCGTCACTGTCATTGCTGTCAATGCTTTCGTCACTTTCACCGCCGCTGCTGTTGTTATCATTTTCACTAAAATCATCATCAGGAACTACGCGATTCCCACAATCTACACATTTGCGCCACTCGCAACGATCTGTATTTGGATTGAAGAGTAAGTTGGCAGGACAAGACTTGGCCACGGGTTTACCATTGGCACAGATGTAGAACTGGTTGCAGTTCTCGTGAGCTACAAGTACGTCATTGGAACCTTCAGCGGAACAGATTTCAGGTGCTAAATTGGGGTTGCCATTGCCTCCTCTTACGACTTCTTCGCCAGCACAGGACTCGTTATCTTCGCCGTTATCATCATTATCGTCACTGTCATTGCTGTCAATGCTTTCGTCACTTTCACCGCCGCTGCTGTTGTTATCATTTTCACTACAATCATCATCAGGAACTACGCGATTCCCACAATCTACACATTTGCGCCACTCGCAACGATCTGTATTTGGATTGAAGAGTAAGTTGGCAGGACAAGACTTGGCCACGGGTTTACCATTGGCACAGATGTAGAACTGGTTGCAGTTCTCGTGAGCTACAAGTACGTCATTGGAACCTTCAGCGGAACAGATTTCAGGTGCTAAATTGGGGTTGCCATTGCCTCCTCCTAAAACTTCTTCGCCAGCACAGGACTCGTTATCTTCGCCGTTATCATCATTATCGTCACTGTCATTGCTGTCAATGCTTCCGTCACTTTCACCGCCGCTGCTGTTGTTATCATTTTCACTACAATCATCATCAGGAACTACGCGATTCCCACAATCTACACATTTGCGCCACTCGCAACGATCTGTATTTGGATTGAAGAGTAAGTTGGCAGGACAAGACTTGGCCACGGGTTTACCATTGGCACAGATGTAGAACTGGTTGCAGTTCTCGTGAGCTACAAGTACGTCATTGGAACCTTCAGCGGAACAGATTTCAGGTGCTAAATTGGGGTTGCCATTGCCTCCTCCTACGACTTCTTTGCCAGCACAGGACTCGTTATCTTCGCCGTTATCATCATTATCGTCACTGTCATTGCTGTCAATGCTTTCACCGCCGCTGCTGTTGTTATCATTTTCACTACAGTCATCATCAGGAACTACGCGATTTCCACAATCTACACATTTGCGCCACTCGCAACGATCTGTATTCGGATTGAAGAGTAAGTTGGCAGGGCAAGACTTGGCCACGGGTTTACCATTGGCACAGATGTAGAACTGGTTGCAGTTCTCGTGAGCTACAAGTATGTCATTGGAACCTTCAGCGGAACAGATTTCAGGTGCTAAATTGGGGTTGCCATTTCCTCCTCCTACGACTTCTTCGCCAGCACAGGACTCGTTATCTTCGCCGTTATCATCATTATCGTCACTGTCATTGCTGTCAATGCTTTCGTCACTTTCACCGCCGCTGCTGTTGTTATCATTTTCACTACAATCATCATCAGGAACTACGCGATTCCCACAATCTACACATTTGCGCCACTCGCAACGATCTGTATTTGGATTGAAGAGTAAGTTGGCAGGACAAGACTTGGCCACGGGTTTACCATTGGCACAGATGTAGAACTGGTTGCAGTTCTCGTGAGCTACAAGTACGTCATTGGAACCTTCAGCGGAACAGATTTCAGGTGCTAAATTGGGGTTGCCATTGCCTCCTCCTACGACTTCTTCGCCAGCACAGGACTCGTTATCTTCGCCGTTATCATCATTATCGTCACTGTCATTGCTGTCAATGCTTTCGTCACTTTCACCGCCGCTGCTATTGTTATCATTTTCACTACAATCATCATCAGGAACTACGCGATTCCCACAATCTACACATTTGCGCCACTCGCAACGATCTGTATTTGGATTGAAGAGTAAGTTGGCAGGACAAGACTTGGCCACGGGTTTACCATTGGCACAGATGTAGAACTGGTTGCAGTTCTCGTGAGCTACAAGTACGTCATTGGAACCTTCAGCGGAACAGATTTCAGGTGCTAAATTGGGGTTGCCGTTGCCTCCTCCTACGACTTCTTCGCCAGCACAGGACTCGTTATCTTCGCCGTTATCATCATTATCGTCACTGTCATTGCTGTCAATGCTTTCGTCACTTTCACCGCCGCTGCTGTTGTTATCATTTTCACTACAATCATCATCAGGAACTACGCGATTTCCACAATCTACACATTTGCGCCACTCGCAACGATCTGTATTCGGATTGAAGAGTAAGTTGGCAGGGCAAGACTTGGCCACGGGTTTACCATTGGCACAGATGTAGAACTGGTTGCAGTTCTCGTGAGCTACAAGTACGTCATTGGAACCTTCAGCGGAACAGATTTCAGGTGCTAAATTGGGGTTGCCATTGCCTCCTCCTACGACTTCTTCGCCAGCACAGGACTCGTTATCTTCGCCGTTATCATCATTATCGTCACTGTCATTGCTGTCAATGCTTTCGTCACTTTCACCGCCGCTGCTGTTGTTATCATTTTCACTACAATCATCATCAGGAACTACGCGATTCCCACAATCTACACATTTGCGCCACTCGCAACGATCTGTATTTGGATTGAAGAGTAAGTTGGCAGGACAAGACTTGGCCACGGGTTTACCATTGGCACAGATGTAGAACTGGTTGCAGTTCTCGTGAGCTACAAGTACGTCATTGGAACCTTCAGCGGAACAGATTTCAGGTGCTAAATTGGGGTTGCCATTTCCTCCTCCTACGACTTCTTCGCCAGCACAGGACTCGTTATCTTCGCCGTTATCATCATTATCGTCACTGTCATTGCTGTCAATGCTTTCGTCACTTTCACCGCCGCTGCTGTTGTTATCATTTTCACTACAATCATCATCAGGAACCACGCGATTTCCACAATCTACACATTTGCGCCACTCGCAACGATCTGTATTCGGATTGAAGAGTAAGTTGGTAGGGCAAGATTTGGCCACGGGTTTACCATTGGCACAGATGTAGAACTGGTTGCAGTTCTCGTGAGCTACAAGTACGTCATTGGAACCTTCAGCGGAACAGATTTCAGGTGCTAAATTGGGGTTGCCATTGCCTCCTCCTACGACTTCTTCGCCAGCACAGGACTCGTTATCTTCGCCGTTATCATCATTATCGTCACTGTCATTGCTGTCAATGCTTTCGTCACTTTCACCGCCGCTGCTGTTGTTATCATTTTCACTACAATCATCATCAGGAACTACGCGATTCCCACAATCTACACATTTGCGCCACTCGCAACGATCTGTATTTGGATTGAAGAGTAAGTTGGCAGGACAAGACTTGGCCACGGGTTTACCATTGGCACAGATGTAGAACTGGTTGCAGTTCTCGTGAGCTACAAGTACGTCATTGGAACCTTCAGCGGAACAGATTTCAGGTGCTAAATTGGGGTTGCCATTGCCTCCTCCTACGACTTCTTCGCCAGCACAGGACTCGTTATCTTCGCCGTTATCATCATTATCGTCACTGTCATTGCTGTCAATGCTTTCGTCACTTTCACCGCCGCTGCTGTTGTTATCATTTTCACTACAATCATCATCAGGAACCACGCGATTTCCACAATCTACACATTTGCGCCACTCGCAACGATCTGTATTCGGATTAAAGAGTAAGTTAGCAGGGCAAGATTTGGCTACGGGTTTACCATTGGCACAGATGTAGAACTGGTTGCAGTTCTCGTGAGCTACAAGTACGTCATTGGAACCTTCAGCGGAACAGATTTCAGGTGCTAAATTGGGGTTGCCATTGCCTCCTCCTACGACTTCTTCGCCAGCACAGGACTCATTGTCATCGCCATTATCATCACTGTCGTCACTGTCATTGCTGTCATCACTTTCATCACTATAGCTAGTATCATCACTTTCATTGGTTTTATTTTCAGGAATCAAACGACCATCACAATCAACATTATTAGGCCAATCACAACGATCAGTATTGGGATTAAAGAATAAATTATCAGGACATGTCAATACTATAGGTTGTCCATTGGCGCAGATGTAGAACTGGTTACAGTTTTGATTAGCTACCATTACATCATTGGAGCCATCGGCAGCACAGATTTCAGGTGCTAAGCTTGGATCACAGTTTCCTCCTCCTATATTGGTTTCATCATTATTACTATTATCATTGCCATCGGGAACTTCTCTATTATCACAATTTACTTTTTCAGCCCATTCACATCTGTTTTGTTCGATACTGAAATAAAGCTTCGAAGGACATGTCAATGGAACAAGCTTTCCATTTGAACATTTATAGAATCTGTTGCAATTACGATGAGGTAATAACTTTTCTGTATTCGAATCATTTGGACAATCATTTGAAGTGTGTCTTGCTGTTGCTAGTGCAAAAGCACTAAGCAATGTGAGTGCGGAATCTGAAAATATGTTATTTTGTTAGTATATTTTTTACTTACTTTTATATACAAATTTATTTATAAAGGATAGTGACACAACCATTTTGTCTGTTATTATGCAAACTATATGATTAAGAAGATCAAATATTGTCTGAAGTTACAAGGTTGTTTACTTGCTTTTTCAAGATAGATTTTGAACTAACATTAACGAGTTATAGCTAAACCTCATTTAACTACTAAACGCTAGTCCAACGTGACAGTAATAACAAATCTTCAACGCTAATAATCAAGTGCCATATTAAATTTCTTGTCCATCCTATTACTTCTTTTCTCACTTAACACTGATTTTCATATTTCATTTCTAATAGCCTTTTTCTTCCGAGACTTATTTCTCCCTTCTAATGCTTCTTTAGCTAGGGACGATACGAGTAAATATTAATACTTACTCGATACTTTTCTTTCGATATCGAGTATTTTGGTATCGATATTTTAGAACTGAGCAATAAGTAGTATCGTGAAGTAAGTATTTGTATCGGTACTTGGTCAGTCACTCATTGAGGAGAGTCAAAAACTCGCGTGCTCGACTGTTTACTCTACTGAGTTTAAAGTCTATCTCATTAAAAATTCCCACTGGCGCGGCGTCCCTGTCGTATGACAATAAGCATTGCTTATACCTACTAATTTTATGTAGTCAAAGATCTATTTAGAAAAAGCTCTGCCAACAAAATTTTTAAGCGAGACCTAACTATATGCATCAGTTTTTATACCTGGACTTATTTCTTTTTCTTCCGTAAACTGAGTATTGCTATTGACTTTTATAGTATCAAAACTGTTTTAAAATTCTATAGAAATGACTACCATGGTGAGGCATTTTAAAATTATTCGATACGAGTAAGTATCGATACTTTTCATTACTCCATGACCGATACCGTATCTAGTTAAAGTATCGATATATCGTTACATACCTATCTTTAGCTTTCAATAAAAGGGTATACTTTACTCATAAAAACCAGCAAATTTTGGCGAAATTTAGAATTTCTGATCTTATTAAATTTATTGTTGCTCTATATCAAAATAGTACCTATTTAATCTTTTAAAAGTTCGTTTAATACATATTTACATTTTATAAATTCTTCAAATAAAAAATAATCACTATTATAATCACAATATTAATTTGAAAGAAATATGTTTTAGCTTTTGATGTCAAGTTAGCTTAATCCTGTGACGAAAATATAGCATCAAAATCTAATTAATTAAATATTTTGTTAATATGTAATATTAAGCAAAGTTAAAGTTAATGTTACTATTTGTTTAATTAGAACTCAGTTTCTATACATTTATTTGTTGAAAGTCTAAAGAAACAAATGAAGGAAAATAATATGTATAAATTGTATTTTGGACGATTATCCCAAAAAAATATTTTGTTGTAATTAATGATATATTATCAAGAATATTTCGCAATCACACGAAGGGAAAGGCCATGGTTGCACTGCATTAGTTACTATAATAGTACGTATAAAGTTTTTAATACATAGTTGAGTTTTGCTTTTAACCACGCATCGCCATCGGCTTGAACGGTTCACGCTTTATAATTTTTTACTATAAGAAGTTTAATATACCCCTAAAATTTTAGAAGTAACTATATAAAATATGTTATAAAAAAACAAATAATGAATTTACTATATTTATTAGTAGTCACAGACATTAAATAGTTCACTTATTTATTAATAATAGTATACTTGGAATTTATTACATTAAAAAAAATTACGAATTCAACTGAGAATATGATATTGAATGCTTACATTTCATAACAATGTGTCCGGTCTTTTTTTTTGTATTCAAATTTTGCACCAAACTGACGACGCCTGTATAAATTGTACAGAATATATACGTTTACCATTTCGTAGATGCATCAGATAATGTAGATTATCATAGCGATTAATCTGATCAGAGATTGATTCATAAATAAGATATTTTTAATGTCTACATAAATAAATTATAAAACTTTTAGTTAGAGGAAAAACGTTAGCTGATCAGTACATTCTGACGGACAGTTTGTTTGACGGCCGGTTTCCCAATTGAGAAATCTACAAAATCTCAACTTATGATTATTCTCAATAACTTAAGATTTTTACGTTTCACTTCTCAGAAAGTTCAGTTTTATTAAGCTGCTATAAACTAACTATTAAAAAAATAGAATAATATTATAATCATAATTACATATTAAATTAAAACTACTTATCTAAACTATAACAACTAAACTAAATTAAAAATGTCTCCCAGATCATTGCCTACAGGTAAGGTACCCAGAAGGCTGCGAGCGTTACCTCTTTGAATAGCTAAACTAATTCTTTGGGCGAGGTACAAACCAGCCTTCTGATCACCTGACCTGTCAAAAAGTTTCTTTTTTAGCTCTTGATAAAGACGATGGGCTCCAGGGCCCCACGGACCCATCGTTTCGACCCAAAATGGCTCAAATATGTACTGTTACTTATACCTGAATATTTTCGCCGTTTGAGGCTTTCTGCAGCAGCGGCGGCTACACCCGCCTCAAAACATGTTCGTGGAAGATGAGTTGGCGCCAAAGTATCAACGCAGGTGGCATCCCATACTAGGGGTCGACCCTTCCTCCGAGGTACCAAAGACATCCCATCAGGTCTCTTACCGTCGTCGCGAGTCAGCCCGTTCGGTTCTAGAATGGCTGGCACTGACGCCGTAGCAAGAGCTCGACGGATGATATCATTGATACTTGCATGTCGAGAGATACGACCAGCACTTCTGCTACAAGATAAGCCGTGATGACCTAAAGAGTCCACCGTTTCACCGCAAGGGCAAAGATGGGGGAGATTACAGGTTGCCCCCAGGCGAAGACAAACTGAAAGGCGAAAAGTTGTATTATCTAGAAGTGTCCCAACAGTCGATGACGGCAAGACTTGTAACCAAAGACCGGATTCCCACTCAGCGACAGCTAAGAGACGAGCATGCTCTGCAGAATTGGCAGACGTGTTTAATAGATTATTCTGTACCAATTTACAGAGCGGCTCGTCCCAATGTTTTTGAGCTGTCATTACTGTTGGAAAATCACTTCCAGATAATATCTCCCAAGCAGTTTTTGCCTCGGCCATATTGGAGATAGCAGCAGCTGAAGATGTTTTAGACAATATTTTTTTATTCAGGTCATAGGTGCTATGGACCGAAGATAAAAATGCTGGAAGAGCAACACTAGAAATTTTGCGTAAACCTAAACCTCCGAAGCGTATAGGAAGAGAAGCCTGGTCCCAAATTTTGTCACTAATATCGATATTAAGTATAGTGGAAACAATTTCTTTTATTGCTTTGTCTATTGAAAGTGTAAGGTTTGTGTGTTTCCAAAAAGGTGCTGAACGTAAAACATAGGTAAATTGAGGAACAAACAGACAATAACGCATAATTGTGAAAGCCATTTGAAAAAATATATTAATTGATATTTAAAATGGTTTAAGTACGGTTTGAGACGTGGTTAAATTTAAATTCTCACTTCAGAAACTGGGTGTATATCAATTTCTTTTGAAAATGTCCTTAATATATATTTGAGATAAAATTACCCAGACAATAGTTAAATAAGACAAAAGATTGTTTTCTAAAAGTTTTCAATTACAATGATACAAGTAACAAGTAATAATAATTGAACTGAAAAGCTTTACCATTTTATTTTCTAGATGGAAAATTTTACAATTAAAATCAATTAGCATGAAGAATAAAAATAAGAACCATTAATTAACAAGAAAAAATATGGTATCAAAGTGGGATCTTAATTTTATTAATAGCTCAAAACACATTCACCTGTTTGGGCATGCAAATTATCAGTAGCCAATAGTAATGAAATTGAATTTAATATAATAATCTTATAATCATACTAATTAAAAAATCACAATTAAAAATAATCGTTTAATATACTAAAATTATGAATATCAATATGAACTAACGTTATTACACATGTCATCACAACTAAATAATGTCACATTTAGATATAGTGTGCGCGGAAGTGCGCGAAAAACCGTAACATATATTTTCTGGACGAAATCTACAACAGTAACAATCAGTAGCCACAACTCCAAAATGTGTTGACAATCCAAATCTGAGCCTGGTATTTATAATGATATTGGGCGTCGTTGAGTGATTGTTCATGGTGGCAGTCCAGACGGATTTGTTGACGGTGCTTTAACTATTTTCAAATCAGATTCAAATACAGGGATTACCATGGGGATATGAATGCCGCAAATTTTCATAATTGGGCTAATCACAAATTGAAAATTAAATTAGCTCCTAATTCAGTGGTCGTGATGGATAATGCCTCCTACCATTGTGTACAGGTTGTGAAAATACCTACAGTTTCAAGTTTAAAGAGAGTCATGCAAGATTGGTTACGTGAACATGATCTTGACTTTACACCAGAAAATACAAAACCCGAAATCCTTTCTCTGATAACAAAACTGTTCGAAAAAATTTACATCGTTGACGAATTTTTAAAGGCAAATCGCTCTTCGCCTTCCGCCGTATCATCCCGATCTCAATCCTATTGAGGTAGTGTGGGATAATATAAAGAACAATATAGATTTACTAATTATAAAAAATCATCATTGGACGACAAAAGTTCAATTATCACAAGATTGTTTTCTGAATTCACTCCGCAAAAATGGCAAAAGTGTAACGACCACGTACAAAAAAAAAATTGAGAACCAATATTGGAACCACAAGATGAAGTTTGACAATGTGGTAGTTTGATTTAATCATAAATCTAGGAAATGAGCCAGATTCTGAGGAGGATATGGAAATTGAAGACATGTCTAGTAATGAAGAAGAAGAAGATATTGATTAATTTTGTATTATAATGGTGATAGTGTATATTTTTTTGTTTATTGAGAAATGGGAATTTGCTTATGAAACTGTATGGTAAAAAATAAAATTTAATAAACACTTTCAAATATGAATTTAATTATGTTTAACGAGGAAATAGAGAAATATTACATTATAAATACCACCATTATATTGATTAAGATAGATTCTAATGCGTCTTGTCAATTGCGCACTCTTCCGTCTCACCGCCCGCATACCTCAGGCGGTATAGTACATTTGTAGTATATTTATATTTATAGTCAAAGAAGTCACTTAAGCATAACAACAATTCTCGATTAACCATTTTTAATTTTTTGTTTAAATTGGTTAATTTTGACCATTTACATATCATTTGGCACTTTATTAAACACTGTTACTATTAATCTGCAATTAATAGCTCCGTATTCGCCAAACCTTGCTCCAACGGACTACCATTTTTGTCGAGATTTGGACAATTATTTACGTGACAAGAAGTTTTCTTCCCAGGAGGCAGTACAAAATGCTTTCACACAGCTTGTGCAGCCTAGATCCTCAGAGTTCTATCGCAAAGGCATAAATGACCTTCCTATTAAATGGCGGCAATGTAGAGATAATCATGGTAACTATTTTAAATAAATAAATTTATAAAAAATAAACAATTTTGATATTCAATATAAATCGGCAATTTCATACTTTAACCCCTATTACATGATTATTAAACTCCATTTATCAATCCCACCGGTGAATAATAAGTAAGATATACAAGGCTAAAGTAAGTAAAAAAGCTTTTAAAATGTTTGCCGCAGTCCAGGGAAGGTTTAAATGGTGAGAGGTGAGTTCACTGCGTCATCTAGTTGATAATAAAAAAAAACGCTTGTGTATCTCGTCTTGTTTTGAGCTCATTAATTGGGAGATGATAAAGTGAAATCATTCTTTAGAATAAATTATGTTAAAGGAAATAAGGAGCCCGAACATATGGAAAATGTGATTTTAATCTAAATTTTTAATGTCCATTTTATTGCATTTAACAAACTAAATAAATAAAATCGTGTTATCTCCATTGATAAGAACTAATATCATTGTGATTTGTATCGGTTATTAATCATTCAAGTTCAAAACTTCTAACTACGTCGATGACATCTACAAGTCATTATCAGAACTGACTATATCTATCATATAAAAATAATATCAAAATATATCCTAATTTTCCATACTGTTATCTGATCTTTACCACTTTAACTTAATAGTAGAGTACAGTCTTACGTTATGAGCGGCATCGGCACATTTGATTCTGAGCGCAGCCACAGTCGATAAATTTTGTGGCGTCGCGAAGGAATACAGGAATGTATATAAATTTAGGGAAAAAATAAAGAAACCTCATAGTAGTTTAATATGGATAAGGATAAATCTCCTGAGATGTGTCCTACTACAATACAGGTTTTTGTTATATGTTCGGAATATATGAACCATTCTAACTTCCCTGGCACTCTGAGATGGGACTACAACCATGGTCTTGACATTTCTTATCAATATATATCTGACTTCGGACACTATACTATCATTTATTATAAACTAGCTTTCGCCAGCGGCTTCGCCTGCGTGGACCCTAGGGAAATATTAAGTGAGATAAAAAAGTATCCTATTATCTAAGTCAGCCAATAATTTTATCTCAAATATATATTAAGGACATTTTCAAAATAAATTGATATACACCCTATCTGTATACCAAATTTCATTAAAATCCGTTCAGTAGTTTCGACGTGATTGACCGACAAACATCGAAACATCCAAACAAAGAAACTTTCACATTTATAATATTATTAGGATTATACTATACTATCATTTATTATGAATTATACTTTACATGCCTTTTTATTTTATAATTTTTTATTTCCCGATATATCTATTTATATTAATTTGTGACATTATATTATATTCTCATGATTCTATTCATTCAATTCGTTAAAATATATATATTGTCCCCGCTCATCTCATTAAGGATGATGGCTGAAAACCGGTGCTTCATCTGCATTAGATGATTTTATTGCACCGAGC